AAAATCAGCTTAAGTCTGGACTAGTACAAGGAGCCGCACATACACATACACACGCATGCACGTCGTCATATGAGCGAAATATTCTCAAGCACGACGTTAAACCCAATTTCACCTCACCTCACTTGACCGTAGGCGTTCTACAGTATTACGCCAGTGCAAACACCTTACAAATGATACAGGGAGCAAATCCTTCGCTGAGAAGCAAAGATTATAAATGTAATCACTTCTGTATTTTGAAATACAATTTGTTTCCTTTTGCTAATACTACAGACCAATCCAATTTCAAGCTATAAATAATATAAAAAGTATTCATCTACACAAACAATATTTTTATTCTACCTATCCAGTCAACTTGACTAGCGGATAACATGTAGGTCATAGAAACTATAACAACTAAGTTAACTTTAAAGCTCTAATACCTATAACCCACCGCCTCCGTGGTGTAGTGGTTAGAGCGTCCGCCCGGAGAGCGGAAGGTCGCGGGTTCGATCCCCGACCGCGTCATACCAAAAGACGTTAAAATATGGTACTTGTTGGTCCCTGCCTGGCGCTCGGCATTAATGGGTACAACAAGGACTGGTCGGCTCGGAGTCAGTATAATGTGTCTGAGTGGGGTATTCATGCTTCACTGCGGCATGGTATCTCAGTGGGCTAGCACTATGTAACCAGCTTAAGTCTGGGCTAGTACAAGCAGCCGCACATACACATACACACGCATGCACGTCGTCATATGAGCGAAATATTCTCAAGCACGACGTAAAACCCAATTTCACCTCACTTCACCTATAACACTTTCATGAAACTGGCAGGAAGCGCTATGTATGGTGCGGAGAAACTAAGGACCTCAACTCAGGTAAATAAGGGGCGGTGGGGTAGCCTAGTGGATAAAGTTCGCTCGTCACGCCGAAGACTAGGGGTCGATTCCAAACATGGGTACAATGTGTGAAGCCCATTTTGTGTTCGCCGCAGTGATATCCTGGACTATTGCTAAACGCGGCATAAAACCATACTCACTCACTCAGTAGAACATGGGATTTGAACATGCAGTAAGTAAATATAAGAACATTAACTCTGGGCAGACTGTATCATATTTGTCAATAAACATGTTTGTCTTTATCTGGTATCCGTAACCTTGTGTAAACAGTGCTCTCGCTCGATTCGATATTGTTTGTCATATGACAATCTATCCATAATAAATAAAAGCGACAAAACCTTTCCACATCCATAAACAGCTCTGCTAAATCCAGAGTCGATTTACAATTCCGGCTATATCATGAATCCCTATGAAGTAGTGATGATATCAGGTGTTCGAGAAAAGGCAAACGTATTCTGCTCAACCGGTGGCACCGTCATAAACAAATGCAAAGGCCAGTCAATTGTTTGCCTGAAAAACACGATAACACATGTATGTAAAAGAGTGGAAGGGTGGCCTTTGCATTGTCTGTGAAGGAATGTCGAATGTCGAATTACATCCCGTAAGTAAGGTAGAATGGTTGTTAAAGCGTTCGCTAGTCACACAGAGAATCCGATTTTGATTCCCCACGCAGGTACAATATGTGTGACGTTTCTTGTGTCCCCCATCTGATACTGCCGGAATATTGCTATGAGCGGCATAAAACTATACTCATTCATTCATTGCAAGTACTTAAAAACAATCTGTGACATAGATATTAAGTTGCGGAAGGTCGTCGGTTCAGTAATAAAAAAAAAAAACATTAAAAGGTGGTACTTGTTATTAACCTGCCTGGTTAATTAATTCAGAGGATATAACAAGGACTGATGGACTGTGTTTGAGGTACTGGGGTATCCGTGTTATACGGTGGTAGTGTGTGTCAGCGTGCTGTAGCTGCAACGTAGAACCGGTAAAAAATGGTGAACTAGTTCAGACATCAGTCATGCACACGCACACCCACACGCACACGCGCACGCACCTTCAGAAGTCTTCATGCACTGTCATGGCAGGGAGCACCATGATTGGGTTTTACGCGTTGTACCCATCACTCTCCTACCCAGAGTTCCATGCGGCAAGCCAGCATAGTACCTCTGCCACAGGCCAGAAATATGTGACGATTCGTCACATCTTGCAATGTCCATTCAATATAATGTACAGATTTCCTTTACTCTTTTATTTTTGATGAGTCTACACATCTAACTAAACATCTTTAATAGAATGGTTTAGTTTCAATGAGAAAATATCCAAAAACATGCAACACTATTTCGATTTGCGTAGCGATCCTTTGTTTACATAGGTTGTACGGCTCCACGTGCTGTCATCGAAGCCGACGGAGAGCAAACGGTGCAGCCAGTTTGATATCTAAATATGTACTGTCATAGACCTAACTGTCGTAGTTGTGGAAGAATATATATGTAACAATGTAAAACATTATGAAGAGAGCGCCGAAAAGCTTTCGTGAGTCCAGTCTCTTCTTATTATGAATATGCGCGTTTGATTACAAACAAGAGAAAAGTCCGGTGACGTGATTTGCAAATTAGACTGTGGCAGTGATGTTATGTTAAGTCATCGCTGTGCCGGGGTGTGTGTACCCATGTGAGGAATCGAACTCGGATTTTGGCGTGACGCGAACCACAATGCTACTCACAACCCTTAATCCTCACATGAAATACACAGAGGCATGCGACAATAAATATATACATATGGGTCTTTTTAAAGATATTCTCGCGCAAACACGCTAGTAACCACGTTTTACCTCCCACATAGCTTAATAATAAACATAGACATATCTTGATGTGCCTACTTACATCGTGGCATAGATAGCCGTTGTGCTACATTGGCATTTTGGGGCTTGTAGCTTACTTTGAATCCTTCTTTCGACAAAGGTATTTCTATATTCAGCAGAACAGCAGAAAGAGAACATTTAGTACATTGAAACATCAGCTGCATATTTATTTGTTTTAGGTATCTCTGTTTCTAGGGTAAATACCTGAGGAAGTTTTGATATTTGTTGGACAATAAGCTATTTATCTCCCGGTTCAATATAGGGTTCGTCGCAGATTTCTCATGAGACTTCGTTACATCAGGAGTTTATGTAGAAACACTCAGTGTTCGAGTGTTTTAGGATCAGGCAAGAGTCATGTTGGTTCTTTCACCTACACAGCTGTGCATCAGCGGAGAAGCCTGCCCACATAGCTGGAATAACGTTAATCAGACCCTGGCAAGATGTGCACTAATTAGATCCAAAGAGCAAAGTAAACGGAAATGTAGGTTCCGACTGGATTGAAAAGATAACTGGATGAAGTCATGGCTTGTGTTACATTTTTTGTAAGCTCGCACTGGAGTACGTGGTAGCCATGTTTCGTATGGCAGTCTGCTGAAGGCTGTACGTTAGATTAACACGTGGACGACTTGGGGGTATTCATCTTCGTAACTTAGTCACATGAGTTAGTGAGTGTCGTTTCACACCGCGTTCAGCAACCTTCATGCACAATCATTGCGGGGAACGCTATGAATGGGCTTTACGCGTTGCACCCATTTGGGGAATCGAACTCGGATTTTCGGCGTGACGCTCAACCACAAGGCTACTCCCTTAATAACGATATACTTACGCAACATCGCTTGTAAGTTATGGTGATGATACGGGGGTTCAAGAACCCAAGATGTACACTCAACGTTTGCGATATTTGATACCTCGATTATTGAGAGTAGATTATTATATTTTATCAAATTTTATTTTATTTTGAAGTTTCACTTCATTCCTGCTAATATATCTAAACGATGTGTTCAAACAGTAATTGAGTGAGTCGGTTTTGTACTATTCCAAGAATATCACGGTAGATATAACTTCATGAATCGTTTTAATAAATCGAATCTGGGCAATTGGCGTGACGAGTGTATTTGTTTCACAGAGTTTTGCATTCGACGATTACACCTACGGGCATGCTGAACTGTGTCATTCGTTCACGCCTGAACTTTTCATTTAATTAAGATGTTTCCCTTAAGGTCTTGGTGTAGCTTTAACACAACAGGGGAATGTTTTGTTTGACTTCCAGAGCAAATCATTAGAATTTTCAGAAGACGGTTATATCCACTAAAGTCAAAATTTTAGTACAACACCAGACTAAAACTTAGTCTCTGAACATATATAATTTTCATATGTACAAACAATTTACTTTAATTGAGGAGGAGTCCCAGTGAGAATGGAGAATGAACTTGAGGAAATCTAGACTTGCTTCATTAAGGCTTCAGCATTGCAGCAAGGGCAGGGAAGACGGGAAAATAATTAGATTCAGGGACTGTGAGACATTGAAACACTTACAAATACCGGCATACCTGTCTAATCACTGTGAGGTTGAAAGGTATTATTACAATCAGATATTGTTAAAACACTCCTTGCACTAAGGAGTGTTGGTGGTAGACGATAACAGCATTGTATCCATTATGAAGGTGTGTATATTAAGCATTCTTAAGGTCTACACTGTGGGTCTTCATCAGCTGGACTTTTAACTTTTGTGTGAGCTTTGTCTTCAGTGAGGGTACGATGCTACATCAGATCAGCCAGCCTCATATGAGTAGGATTTATATGTGTTACCAACACTGCAATATGGCCGTACACCACGAAACCGAAGTCATTATTGGTTTCAAACCTATAAATTATTCGGTAACACATTTGTGTGTGGACCGATTTCAGATTTTCAGATTTCAGATATTGATCAGTAAAAAGGTGAACATGGTTATTTATGACGTAATTAGCATATGACGTCACATTAAACAAAATGACGTCATTATACTCGTACAGGTCGATTAGACCACTTGATTGGTCTCATTATTAGACGGTGATTTTGGAATCAAATTATATATTAAAAATGTGATAATCGTTTTCCTGTATTCAATCGCCTGTATTACCTGTATTCATAGCATCCTATTAATCACCTTCTGTATGAGAGTATGCAGCGTGGAACGCGCCACCAGGTAAACATGTAATATACACATGCAGCATTTACATGCATCCATGCAACAGCTGGCCTGTGAACGTTGTACTCACCGCTACGTGATGTTGTCAGCACTATCAGAAGAACAAATATACATCCTTTACACAACTTGAGTTTGGTGAAGATGGCACGAGTATGAGAGCACTGCGTCATGTCACTGACATAACAAACCCCAGCCAGAGCGACCTGTCTGTATCAGTCCTCCACACTCTAACTAGCATCCACACAAGTCACCCTTGCTGTCAAACTACGGCATTGGGCTTTCTCCTCCAGATCCACACAAGTGTTGAAATACAAATTTAAGTTCCAAAAACCATGGCAAGCCATAACACTTCATTGTGCGCTCGCTACTTCCGAGTTAGAGACTCTCGTGCGCACGCGCGTCTTTCTTGGAGATGACTGGAATATTAAATACCTCTGCTGGTAGGGTAATCAGTGAGCTGAACGGCCGTGTGTTGTAAGGATGCTCGCGGAATGGTGAGCTGTCTACCCTATGTAGTGCGGCTGGTAGTTGCGGTGATGGGAGTGCTTGGATGAGAGCGTCCATAATTCACGTATATGCATACCTAGGCGCATTACATATTTGTTGTAGTAAATCATCTGTGAATGTTTGCGAACTAAGCATGGACTTCTCAGTACACTGATGGCTACTTCGAGTATTGAAGAACTTTTTTATATTACATGAAAACTGTATAATTTTTCCGATGGTAATGTGTTACAAAAATGGTTATGAAACTGTAAACATACTTCGCCTGGGATGATGTTTTGTAACCTAATATGTTACTTCGTATGTGTATTTGTTTTGTCAATATTGATTAACTAAACCAGAATAGATTATGATCATATATGACCGAAAGTCAATACAATGAAAGTTGTATTACAGGATTAAAATGTTAAAATCAATAATGTTTTCGCAAGCCCCGATGTTCAAACAGACTGTGCACTCACACAACGGGAAGTCAACTGTTAACACGTTTCCTGTTGAAGAAAGTGCACTCCGTGTTTAGCGCCACCTTGATTTGCACTCATCCATAACCACAGGTTAATCTGAAGTAGCCAAGGGAAATCATTATTGAACTTCCTGAGACTAATCAAATAACTGTTTCCGACAGATGCATTAGTGAAGTTCACAACTGGTGAGGGGCGGTGGGGTAGCCTAGTGGTTAAAGTGTTCGCTAGTCACACCGAAGACCCTGGTTCGATTCCAAACATAGATACAATGTGTGAAGCACATATCTGGTGTCCCCGCCGTGATATTGCTGGAATGTTGCTAAGGGCCCTGTCACACTTCTGCGTATCCTAATTCCTTATGCGTTGCGCATTGACATTTCTTTCATACGCAGTCGTACGCACAATACGCACCTCATATGCATCTCAATCGTTTTGTGTAAGTTTTATGTACGCCGGCATGCGCACAATACGGCCCAGGACGCGTGACAGATTTGGGCATGCACATAACTATGCTGCGTACGCTGTTACGCAGGTAATAATTAAGTTATAAATACGCAGTGCATAGGTCCCGCATCGGTCGAGTGCGGTACGAGTCTGGTATGTGTTCGTTGAGGGTAAGCGGTTCATACACGGCAATACGCTGATCTCCCGGCACGAGCTTTGAGCCGCGTATGTTGGACGTATACGTAGCGTACTTCCAGCGCAGATACAACGCACGCTGAACGAACTCATAGCCTATGCGGACGTATTGCACGAATCAGTACCATTTGTCCTGCGATCGGGCAGCGTATTGTATATATTTGTAACTTATGACAAACGCAGAGATAGCGTACAAATAGCGTACTTGCCGAACATCCAGGTTACCCTCGAGATTTGGTATAAATATGATGGCTCGGCGGCCCATGATGACAAAGATTGATGTTCACGCTATGAAATCTGCACCGGTAACGAAAGGAGCGGGAAACAGCCGTCTTTTTTAAGAAATCGAGAATACGCTCGAAAGACCGGTAATAGTGTGTTAGTTCAGGCAGAGAATGGCAGACGATATAGAAGAAATTCGAGTCATGTGAAAAGGTTTGTGGATTCATCATGTGTTGGTGAGAATAGTGGGCATGTTCAGTGTGATGGTGGAAATGTGACAAGAGCTGAAGAGTCACAAAACGAATCATCTACTGCCTGACTGACTGAGTTTGGTTTTACGCCGCTTTTAGCAATATTCCAGCAACATCACGGCGGGGGACACCAGAAATGGGCTTCACACATTGTACCCATGTGGGGATTCGAACCCCGTCTTCGGCGTGACGAGCCAACGCTTTAACCACTAGGCTACCCCACCGCCCCGAATCATCTACTGAGAATACCGTGGGTAATCAGGAAGCGGATAGTGGTTCAGTGCATGTGGTGCCGTGCAGTGGTGGAAGTGTTGCATCGACCAGTGTGTCTAAATCAGGTGAGAGTACCCCTGATTAATAGGATGTGTGTGTAGTGGCAGACCAGTGAGGCATAGGAGTCAACCAGCAAAATACAGAGATTATGTAATGGGTGTAGTATAGTGAAGTAATCAGTGTGAAACATTTGTATCTACATCACGTACTAAACCAGTTTGAAGTGCAATGTTCAGTGTCCAGAATAAGTTAACCAACTGACTATTGTTTTACTGTTTTAAATAAAACTATATTTTTTAAAAGAACAAGAAGAAAAGAAGAGGGAAAGAGGAATTTGAATTGTGCCTCCACAGTCACTGAGGAAACAGATTATTAGTGTAGCTCATGAAGGTCACTTAGGAATATCTGGAAAAAAGCAGCGTCTGAGAACTAAAGTATGGTGGCCCAACATAGAGAAAGAAGCTTTGTTTTATCGTCTCTCATAACCCACTCTGGGTGGCGTTTGTACATCATCTCTCACATACTTGTTGTCATTTTGTACTGTGTACTAATGGTGAGACGCAAATTAAATATTTTGTATTGTATTGTAGTATAATTGTACTATTGAGATGGAAACAACTATTGCGATAGCGATAGTCTGTTGCAACATACTATTGCGATAGCGATTTGAAGTCATTTCTCAAATGAATGTATAGCTTATATGAAATATAAGCAAGTTAAAGTAGTTTCAGTCTCTTTTAATAACTGACTAGAAACTTGAAACCCAGACCAGATTAAGTAAACAGTTAAAACATAAACGTACTGTTTTTCACAATTTCAAACTCCGAGCCGCATGCCGTGTTCGCCGCCATGTTTGTTAAAGAGGTAACAGGGGCGGATAACTCTAAATGACAGTGAACGAATCTGGTACTTCCTGTATTTTGCGCTGCGCTCTTATTAATTGAAATAAATAACTAAACTATCGATAGTCACACATACTATCGATGCATCGATAGTTTTTCTTTTCTACCATCGATTAATTGCTATCGGAGACTCAACAATTGCAATCCATCGATAGTTCGATGCATCGTTACAGGACTACAGTGTATGTCCGGACAGTTGAAGGTCTGTGGTTCGAACCCCCTGGTTCAGCACTCCAAAAGATGTTTCAAAACGACTCCTACTGTTGAGAGCACCTGCCAGACGTTTGCCATTTAGAATGTAAGAGTAGAACCTGTCTGATTGGAGTTGGTGTCATGTGTCTGAATGGGATATCCGAGTTAAACTGCTAGTGAACTCAAAATAAAACAAAGGGATGTCAACTGTATCGAAAACCAGATCCTTATATCCGCGAATTGTATATACAAACATAATAACACGTCAATATTCAGTTGGTCCGGAAACAGCAATTGGATACAGTACGTCATCAATAAACATATTATTTCAGATTAATCATGGGTGAATGAGTGAGTGAGTTTGGTTGAACGCCGCTTTTAGAATATTCCAGCAATATCACGGCGGGGAACACCAGAAATGGGCTTCACACATTGTACCCATGTGGGAAATCGAACCCGGGTCTTCGACGGGACGCACCAGACATCATCGATTAATTTGCGTAATATATTCCCAGTGCAGTGTGTGAATATCAAATAGATGAGGAGGTTGCATAAGTCTGCTTTATATCTGATTCACGAAGGTAAATCGATGGTAGGATGTCGGCTGTTTGACCTTTATGGACTAATTCCAGATCATTGATGTACCCGAAGCTCAGGGTGAACTTATTGACACAAATCCCTGGTTTTCATCTTGCCCATCCCAGAAGATGTTCTTGGCATTGAAGAAACTAATTAAAAGTGAGTGTGAGTGAGTTAAACTTTACGCCGCTTTTAGCAATATACCAGCAATATCACGGCGGGGGACACCATAAATTGGCTTCATACATTTTTCACCATTGGGGAATCGAACCCGAGCGAACGCTTTAACCACTAGGCTACTCCACCGCCGTCTAACTGGAAAGAAGACTAGTATAACTGATGTCAACGGAGACGCCATGAAGCCTTCTGCATGATGCCATATGCCCTAAGCTCACTCACTTTTCAATACACCCTTTTTCCAAACATCCACATGATTCTTTGTTCGTTTATTTAACGCCGCACTCAGCAATATTCCAGCTATATATGGGACCCGTGAATATCCGGGTTAGCATTGATCATCAGCAACCCATGCTTGTTGTGAGAGTTGACAGACGGGATCGGGTGGTCAGGCTCGCTGACTTGGTTGACACATGCCATCGTATCCCAATCACTGGATTGTCTGGTCCAGAATCGATTATTTACAAACCGCCACCATATAGCTGGAATATTGCTGAGTGCGGCGTAAAACTAAACTAACTCACTCACTCACTCCAGCTATATGGCGGCGGTCTGTAATTTCTCAGGTCTGGACCAAACAATCTAACGGTTAACGTCATTAACATCAATCAACGTAATTGACACGTCTCAATCAAGTCAGCGAGCCTGAACCCGTTAGTCGCCTCTTACAACAAGCATGGGTTTCTGAAGACCAATTCTAACCCGGATCCTCACGGGAATGGTTCAAGAGCTCAGGCAGGGACGAGTGAACGTTTTCATCACTTGACTACCTTACCGTGGTGATTTAGTACAGGCGTGCCATACATTTTTCAGTAAACAGTGGTCAGCTGCACTGCTCACCATTGGCAGTTTTCACGATCGGACACCTGTAACCTCACCCAGTTGACCTATGCTCAGCGCCAGCAGTTTGAGGATACATTGGAGGGTGTTTCAAATGGAGCTTCTCCCGTTCAGGTAACTGGCGTAACACAACACAGCACAGTGTGTCGGCAGTTGCACATATACTACTCAAACGAGGTTTAAGAATATATATATCAGATAGATACACAATGAATGCCTTTTTCTCCAAACTGTTTCGCTGTTTACTCTTCAGGGAGATTGTAGCAGTTACGTAAATAAATAAATATATTTATTACCTACGAGGGCGAACATATCGGGGTTCATATTTTTCATACGATGCCCTAGGGCAAAATATCACTTTGTCATGGTGACGTGACGTCATGAACAATGCTATGACGTCACGTTCTTCTGTGA